TATACAGTCAAATTTTGATCAGTTGACTGGAAAATTCATCTGTCAATCCTGTGCATTTGAGATCTTTTGAACTTGTTGAATGTGTCAAGACAATGCCAATGAGTCCTTAAGTCCATATATGAGCTTGGTTTGCCATTGGTTAGGTCAAACAGTCAAAAATTGCCTTTGTGCAGTCAAAACCCTAAAAATGACCATTTTGCCCTTTTGGTGATCTGATCAAATTTCTTGTGGCATTGTGATCCAAACTTGACCAAATGGTTTATATGAGTTCATGATGTTGATGTGGGTCAAAAATCATGAGTTTTGACTGTCAATTGGCCACAGTTGACTTTTTCCCCAATACAGTTGATTTTTAGGTCAACTATCCAATTGACTGGGCAGAGATTGGAATCAAGGCTTGAAACTTGGTATGGATAAACTTGCAAGTCCAACATGAAGCATGAAAGTCACTTTGGGAATTTTAGGTCAAAACATCTTTGTGCAAACTCAAACCCTAATTTGGGTCAACAATGCAAGGAGGGGTCTTGAGCAGAGCAAACCCTAACTTGATCTTGAGCTCCAAGAGTCTTGTGGTGAGAAAATGTTGATGAAAAGGGAGGGCAAATTTTGGGGTACAACACCGGGCCTCGTCCAAGTTTGGCCTCCAATCGTTTTTTGAAGTATAATAAATTGGCTTTCTTGTTTAAACAAAATTGGATGTTGCCTGTGTCTCTAAACAAAAACCCAGAGGTGGGACAAATGTATGTCTCACCGTTGAAATATGCATTGATGACATATTGGGGTGCAGAGGCCATTGCGTATGATTGTTTGAAGGTTGGAAGGTTTGAAGTTTATGAGTTATTTGCAGGAATTTTTGAATGTTCTAGTGTTTGAGAGATTAAGTGAATTAGTATTTTGATAAATGTAAGACTAAATAGGTCATACTAAATAAGTCCAATGGCGCCTCCCTTCATGTCCAATCGTGTTACATGCATGAAAAGATTCCTTCTCTAAGGCTGCCACCTAGCCTGCGCCTACTCTCACCTACACTGTAACCTCTAAGGCTCCTCCCATCACGTCCAATAGTGTTACATGCATTCAGGGATGCCTTCTCCAAGGTTGTCACCTATCCTGCGCCTATGCAACCCATGCCACCTCTTATTCGCCAATGGGGATGGCGACACCTTTCATTTTTGTACTCTTTCGCCAAGTCCAATGGCGCCTCCCTTCATGTCCAATCGTGTTACATGCATGCAGAGATGCCTTCTCCAAGGCTGCCACCTAGCCTGCGCCTACTCTGCACCTACACTGTAACCTCTAAGGCTCCTCCCATCATGTCCAATAGTCTTACATGCATTCATGGATGCCTTCTCCAAGGCTGTCACCTAGCCTGCGCCTATGCAACCCATGCCACCTCTTATTCGCCAATGGGGATGGCAACACCTTTCATTTTTGTACTCTTTCTCCAAGTTCAATGGCGCCTCCCTTCATGTCCAATCGTGTTACATGCATGCAGAGATGCTTTCTCCAAGGCTGCCACCTAGCTTGCGCCTACTCTGAACCTACACTGTAACCTCTAAGGCTCCTCCCATCACGTCCAATAGTGTTATATGCATTCAGAGATGCCTTCTCCAAGGTTGTCACCTAGCCTGCGCCTATGCAACTCATGCCACCTCTTATTCGCCAATAGGGATGGCGACACCTTTCATTTTTATACTCTTTTGCCAAGTCAAATGGCGCCTCCCTTCATGTCAAATCGTGTTACATGCATGCAGAGATGCCTTCTCCAAGGCTGCCACGTAGCCTGCACCTACACTGCAAGAGTGACACTTATCATGCATGCACCACCTACCACCTCACTTACTCTATGAAATTTTTTTGCCTATAAATACAGAGCATAACATACTTCTCTCGCACCCACAATCTTCTCACTCTCTACTACAAACTCTTTCATAATCTCTTACAATTTCAAACTCTTTCATAATCTCAGGCATTTTCAACAATGGCTCTTCTCACAATGGGCGATTCTCACAGAGGCACAAGGGACAACATTGCAGCATTTGTAAGTTTCTTTTATAGTTATACATTTTTCATACTTATGATAATGCTTTGTTCATCTTACTTACTCTTACACCTTTTACATTATTAACTCAGGATACCAAAAGATTCAGAATCCGGTCTCACAACCACCTTGCTCCCGACCCATTGATCGTACCATATCTGGAATACGCAGGTTTCGGACAGGTTATAAAGATCTCCAACTGCACAATTGATTCAAAGTTTATACTTGCAATGTTGGAAAGGTGGAGACCAGAGACCCATACATTTCACCTACCAATAGGTGAATGTACCATCACGCTAGAGGACTTGTACATGTTACTGGGTCTCCCTGTTGATAGTAAGGTCGTTAACAGGTCGGTTCAACAACCCAATTCTCTGTGTGAAGAATTGTTGGGCAGGGATATGGTTGAAGGTGGTGGTGCGAGAGGTCAGGGTATACTACTAACTGAGCTTAAAAATCATTATGCGACATTGGAATTAAACGAAAATTCCTCCAAGCTAGCCAAGGTAATAAAAGCTAGAACTTATATAATGATACTATTTGGAACCTTTTTATTTCCCGAAAGTACGGGAAATAGTGTAAATTTTATGTATTTAAATTTACTTAAAGACTTTGAAAAAACTAGTTCTGTTGTTTTAGCCCACCTATACAGTTTCTTGTGTAAAAATGTAATCAAGGAAAAATGTACATTTTATGGCTGCGCTTTTTTACTTCAAGCCTGGGGTTGGTGGAGGATGGAGTCCCTAAACCCCGTCAACAACAACACATTCGTTTTCCCGTACGCAACAAAGTAAGTCATCAAGTTATATCATTTATTACTATTCATCTCTTCACCAAATATATGATAAAAATAAAATATTTTTCATTTCCTTTAGGTATTGTGTGAGGGGTATGGATTACGACAAGAATCCAAGATTCAATGTCGCACTATACCACAATCTATTGGATCACCTTGGCCCGGATGATGTACGTCGTACCTTTCAACTTTTCTACTTCTAAAATAATTTATATATTACGTTTTCATTAACCTGATTTAATTTTATGCACAGTTTGTCTGGAGACCATATTTGGGTTTGGGCCATGAACCAAACCCCGAGGATGCAGCAATTTGGAGCGCCAAGACTGCAATCATACGATTCAATGTTATAGAGATGCACCACAGCGACCATGTGAAGATGCAGTTTGGAATGCATCAAGAGATACCCAGTGATCTGACTTGTTTGTCCCCATGGCATCTCAAAAGGGTCGACGCCCAATGGGGTCTTACCAACTGGAAAGACTTTGCTCCTGAATAGTGTAAGATATGGCAGAGGCGTCACCGACATGTCTTACAATTCCTAGTTTTCCTCAATCATGGTAATATGCGACACACGGATCAGTATTTATCTTAGTACAGATCGGTTAGTAACCCTGAAATACATGTGGCTCATCCAAGGTATTTGGTTGACCCACGAACATAATGGGCACAACCCTCATTTCCCTAACAACAAACTCAACACACATCAACCTCCCACCAACCCCCCAGACGAAACAGAACCACAAACACCCAACCACAGTCGCCACCACAATACAATTACACCCACATGCCCCACAACCAACCACAATCACCACCTCAGTACCAATACCCCCATATGCCTCACACCCAACCGTAATTTCAATCACAATACCAACACACCCGCATACCCCACACACAATTTCAGTCTTCTGCATATCCCAATATGGGCCCCTCAACATCCAACCTTAGCCCTGATCTGGGAATGTCAGAAGATTATAAACCAACCGACCCAACTTACCATCAACCACAATATCACCAAACCACCCAACATCCTCAATACCAAACACCCCAAGATCCATTTCCTTTCTACCTCCGTACTCAGACGACCAATGCTACAGACCAACCATGGAACCCCACCCACCGCCAACACGACCAAACTTTAAGGGTATGGGTAACCGACTGTACCAAAGCGGATCTTCTAGATATGGAGATCTGGCTGATTTCATGGATCCAGAACGCATTGACTTCGTTAGGTCATCGACCCTGCCACAACAGGAAACGCGACGAAACCCAGCACGGGAAAGGCGAGGACGGGGATGCGGAACCGGGGGTCCATTACCGAGTTCCGGGGGACCACTGATTAATCTGTTTTTTTATTATGTAATACTTATGTGTGTAATCATATTTTGTAAATAAAAAGTCAATTTTGTTGATCCTATATCGAATACGTAACACACCGTATTGAGAAAAAAACGCGAAAATTGCCCTAGCAAATGCACTAAGGCGCCATCTCACTTGGCTTAGGGCAAGCCCTAAGCACCTAGGCGCCAAGTGAGATGGCGTCTCCCCTTAAAAGGTAGGTGTAGGCGCCAAGTGAGATGGCTCCTCCTTTGAGGAGTCATCTGAAACATGGTTATTTGCGTAATTTTTTTTGAAACATGATTATTTGCGAAATTTTATTTTAATACATGGTTATTCCAAAAAAAAAATCGCAAAATTAAAAATTTTGTATAAATTTATCCAAAAAAAAAACAATTCTTTTTAAATTTAAGTTATCCAAAAAAACAATTCTTTTTAAGTTTAAAATATTCTATATAGATATTAAAATTTAAAGAAATTCATATAACAAAAATATTAAATCATCTAAATAAAAACAAAACGATAGCACTTAGAAGTTGCTCACAACTAATTAATGACAACATATATAATTCTAAGTCAAATAGGAATACACAACATAAATTAACACAAAACACCTTGAGTGCTTCCCCAATCGACAATTAAATAATAAACAATTTTTCAAAACAAACTTAATTTGCTGTCTAGTCAACTATATACATATCATTAATCAATAAAACTATAATAGCATCATTATATATAACCAAAACATGCTTATCCTAAACACAAAACAACACTTACTTATAATTAATCACATCACTTTTCATAAAACCCTTCATAACCATCTCCATGACAAGCCCTTCAACTTTTCTTTTACTCATAGCAATTTCTTTGCTATTATTCTCAAAACCCTCTCTCACAATTTTTGTAAGTATCAATTGTGGATCCTCAAAATCTTTCATCGATGAAAACAACATAAAATGGAGTGGGGATTATGATTACATTCAAAATGGAGCACCTCAAGAGGTTTATTTAGGCTCTAGCCCATTAAGCACTCTAAGGCTTTTCACAACTAGAAAGAAAAATTGCTACTCCATCAAAGTTCCAAGAGGTGAAAAAGTTCTTGCTAGGGCAAGCTTTTATTATGGAAATTATGATAATAAATTTTCACCACCAATATTTGATCTTCAATTTGATGGTAACTATTGGGCTAGTGTTAATACTTCAAGTATTTATTATGTTGATTATGAAGCAATATATGTAACTAAAGGAAATTTCACTAGTATATGTGTTGCTCAAACAAAGGACAATCAATTTCCTTTTATATCATCACTCGAAGTTAGAAGCTTGGATCCTAAAATGTATAGTCATGTTGATTCTAATCATGCTTTGATTTTGCAATGGAGATATGCTTTTGGTGGTAATCAAACTATAAGGTATTCCAAATTACTATATTGAGAGTTAAAGTCTATACTATAGACTATTTATACACTTTTGAAAATGTTTTCTGTTTTTATTTTTTTGTTTAGATATAAATATCTATGCTTTTTTTTTAATGGTTTTTATCATTTGAATTTTACCATTTGTTTAAACTGTTAAATTTATTGGAAAAGATTGTTTAATTTATTGAATCAATTATCTCATTCTTTAAAAATCTATATTTATATACAAATGTGATATCAAATTTAAGCATAGTTTTTTTATAAAAAAAAAAAATCTGTTCTTTATTTAAACTATTTAATTAATAATTTTTTTAAGTTAAATAGTTGAATTTTATAAAATAATCATATCAAATTTTATTAATTTATGGTAGGTCCGACTAAGTGTCGTAGTAAAATATAGTAAAAATATTTTCATAGTTAATCATAGATCGATTACGCGTCATAGTAAAATATAGCAAAATAAATATGTTGCACCGATTGAAACATGTCAGATATCCAGAAGACATTTTCGATCGAATATGGACGCCAGCTTACGGTATACTTCTTTCTGAAGTAAAAAGCGAAGAATCAAGCATCGACGTTAGTACATCCGAAGATCAACCACCAAAATCCGCATTACAAAATGCTATTGTTTCATCGAGCACTAATTCATACATAGAATTCATCAATAGGCTTCCAAAAGATGAACAACCTGTTTATATAAATGCTTATTTCTCAGAAGTGATGGAAAGTGCTTTTGGAAAAAGATCAATTCAAATGTATATTGATGACAAGCCATTTTTAAGTCCTATTGTTCCTCCTCTTGGAAGTGTGAAAGAAGTTTATATTACCAATATTACAGCTTCAGCAAATACTAGTTTTGTTCTAAGGGCTTCAGATTCTTCTACTTTTCCTCCTATATTGAATGCTCTTGAAGTTTTTACAATAACTGATGCATTCAATGCAGGAACAGATAGTAGAGATGGTTAGTGTTTAAGATCTTGTTTAGATAAACACCTTAGATAAACACCTTATATAGTGTTATATATTTTAGGGAAAAACTATAAAAAAATAATTAATTTTTATATAATATAATAAAGAGAGTTTGATTTTACAAAATAATCATTCACATTTTGGTTTGTGTATTATTTTGTGGAATTAGTGAAAGGTTTGTTAGAACTACAATTTGCATTTGAAGAGCTTGTGGATTGGAGTGGAGACCCTTGTCTCCCATATCCTTATACTTGGGATTGGATTCAATGTACTTCTGATGCCAAACCTCGTGTAACAGCATTGTAAGTAAATTATTAATATCACTTTAATATAAATCCTATAAATTATGTAATATTATCATATAGTAGCTAGCTATTAATAATTTGTTGATATTTATGTGTCTAATAAAATAGGTATCTTAGTGGATATGAGCTACAAGGAACACTTCCAGATTTCAGTTCCATGACTGCACTTGAAACAATGTGAGATATTTACTTACATAACACAAAACCATGATTAAGAATCTTCAAGATATTGTTTAATAAGAAAATCAAACTGAACTGTAATAAAATGTCATTCAAACCGAATTAAATTGTCTTAATTTATTCAAAATCGAATCAAATTTAATGGTTTGATAATACTGATCAAACTGTTAGAAAGTTATTTTTTTTTAATCAAACTATTTTATTTTTTTACAAATTTTTATAAAAAATTTAAATTTATTTTTAATATTTAATATTTTTAATTTTGATTCGATTCTAGAAACTGTTTATTCGGTTCAACCATTTATTTCGGTTGGAAGGTTTTTTAACAATATGCTATCCAAAATATTTAATAATTCTTTTCCAAATTTTGTGTTGTAGTGATTTGCACAACAATACTATAGAAGGACCTATACCTAATTTCTTAGGCCTTTTGCCTAATCTCAAGACATTGTAAGTTTCATTTTAATTCAAAATTTTGTTTTCAAACAAATTCAATAAATGTTTTAAGCTCATATAGTAAAACGGATTATTTTTTCATTGATTCATGCAGGAACCTGTCTTACAATAGGTTCAATGGTTCCATACCTGCATCTTTGGTGAATAAGAACATTGAAATTGAGTAAGTTGGATTTTTTTTCTCTCTCCATTTCATCTATATGAATCCTTATTTATATGTAACTCAATTATTTGATTATTTTTAGCACAATAAATAATTGTCTCACTGGAATGAAGTGTGAGCCTCTAAAAGATTCACCAAGTAAGCAAACAGCACCAATTTCAGAAGATGAACCAAATATAATTGATTCATCAACATTGCCAGGATTTAGTTCAGGGGATGGAAGTGTGAAGAATAACAAGCTTAAAAAGTTTTTCATATTAGCTATGCAAGCTTTGCTACCAATGGTTTTCATGAAGTATATGTGAAAATAAATAATGTTTTTGTTGATTTTTTTATATGATTATGAAGATAATCAAGAAAGTCATGTATTGTGTGACTCTTTTGAAAGAGTTAAATTGTTTCCAATTTAATTTCTTACTAGTAACAAACCCGTGCTATCGCACGGGTCTCGTCTGGATTCACATTATATTTATAGATTATTAAATTATTAAGTATGTTACCATGTTTTCAGTTGAGTATATGTCTCATGTAAACCATGTTGGCATTTAACTTCATATTTGTAGTAAGCGTTGGTCCTATCAACAAATCACGTCTGCATGAACAAATAGGAAAAATTATATACTTCTTGAAATACATGGAAAATGTACATACTATATATTTTAATTCAAAATAGATTTTTAATTTGAATCGTAAAGTATAAGATATAAAGTTTACCAACTATCAAAGTGCTTGAAAGACTTCCTTGTACACAACATTAGTAGTAGTAGAACACGGTACATTCTCCTTGTCATGAATTAGGATTTTTAGCCCACTTTTGCTCTTAATTCTTGAAATTGCAACATATAATTGACCATGACTAAACACAGGAGTAGGCAAATACAATCCAACACTATCAAGAGATTGACCTTGTGACTTATTAATTGTCATTGCATAGGAGACAATAATCGGAAATTGTCTCCTAATCAACTTGAATGGCCAAGGTGAATTAGAAGGTGACATAGACATTCGTGGAATGTAAAAAATGTTACCTATGTTCTTTCCAGACATGATTTTTGCCTCAATGACATGATTTGCAAATCTTGTAACAATTAATCTTGCTCCGTTGTACAACCCATCGGCTTGGTCCAAATTTCTCATTAGCATAATAGGTGTATCAACCTTCAATTTGATCCTATGATTGGGAAGCCCTGACGTTCTTAATTTACTGAGAAATTCAGGAGTTAGAACTTCATATGCTTCAGTATAACTTGAATCTGTTCTATCAATGGAATCAAAACTCAAATACTCTTTCTCTTCTCCTAAAAAAAAGTTTAAAAGCAAAACATAAATAAATTAGTAAAACTATGTTCTTAAATATATATATATATATATATATATATATATATATATATATATATATATATATATATATATATATATATATATATATATATATATATATATATATATATATATATATATATATATATATATATATATATATATATATATATATATATATATATATATATATATATATATATATATATATATATATATATATATATATATATATATATATATATATATATATATATATATATATATATATATATATTAATGAATGTAATAATACAGTAAATATAAAACACATGTACCTGGTATCAAGTCTAATACATAATGATTGATTTTGTCCACAACTTCAATGGTTGAAGCAAGAATAGCCTTTCCTTGTAAGAATTCAACATCTTGATATTTTTCCAACAAATTGGGATATGTGTTTTCAACAATTGCTCTTATAGGATCATCAAAATTTGATATTAATAGCTCTTGAGGAATTTCAATATCAACCAAACCATCATTGGGTTCACAAATCTTACCATCACCCACATTTAAAATCCATTTTGAAAATTCCGCTAGTTCATTAGAACTTGTGTTGTCTCTTCCCTCTTGAAGTCTCATATTTTTTGATAGTGTTAAAACCTGGCAATAATCCCATACATAAGATGAATTAATTGATGCATGAACAATATCAGAACGCCCAGCTCTTGGAACAACAGGAAGAATCTGTCTAAAATCTCCTCCAAATACAACAACTTTTCCACCAAAAATAGTATTCTCAACACCCTTTTTGCTCATTATATCTTTAAGGGTTTTATCCAATGCTTCGAAGCAGTTCTTGTGAGACATAGGTGCCTCATCCCATATTATCACATCCGTTGCTTCAAATAATTGAGAATGTTCGGTGTCTTTGTTGATGTTGCAAGTTGAGTTGTCAAGCGTTGGCACAGGTATTTTGAACTTTGAGTGTGCTGTTCTTCCACCCCGGCAATAATAACGAAGCTGTCCCACTTGAAGCAACAGTAAGAACAATTTTTTTTTGAGAACTAAGTGCACTTGATAGTGTTCTCCACATGAAAGTTTTACCAGTCCCTCCGTAACCATGCAAGAAAAATACCCCTCCACTCTGTTTGTTAACAGCATCCATGATTTTCTCAAATATCAAACGTTGTTCATCTATAAAATACAAACCAAGAATTATAAGTGCAAGGACAATAAAAATCATTTTTGTAATTCATAGTATAAAGAAAATAAATCACCTGTAAGGGCATGAAAAAGTTCTTGGAATTTCTGTTTCTCGGTATCGGCATCGTAATTAAGTTCGTCATAAATAAGCCTATTGCCAACATGTTTTGTGATGTATGAATCTGGATACGGCATACATTTAAATTCATGCAAACTTCTTTGATTCGATTGCATCATGTTCTCAATCTCAATTAGTGTGAGATTCTTTAACTCATTGTCCGATAGCTGCAATTCTGTTAAAAAAATTTCATTAGTTTTCTATATAATTACATATGTATGATGCAACTGCTGTCGTGATGTTGAAATACATTGAACATAAATCAAACAGTTGATGTTGCGGCTGCGTGAAATTAAATGGAACCAAAGACACTGTTGCAGCTGCAAGTTAAGAAAATAACTTACATACATGACAAATGACAAATATGAAAATGTTTCTTACGTAAATGAACATACCTTATGAAACATATTAAATAAGGGACATATGGATGAAGAATAATTATATTTTAAAGTAAGTTCATATCATTATATTTTGTAATAAAAAAAGATACAGCTTGCATTCGGAAAATAATATTTGTTGACTTAAAAAAGTTTAATAAAGTGTTCATACCTCTTCTATTTGTTTTTTGCCTTTGTTGGTAGAGGATACCATCAGATAACGTCCTCCAAGTTTTTTCCCAAACATGTCGTGGTCTATTGACAGTACCGGATAGTAACATAGTGACAAATAACATTCGTAAAAAATGCCCGGAACCCCAATTCTTTGCTTCGTCGATGGCTGCAACATATTCCTTGTCATCGTTAAGAAAACCCATTTCGAAGCATGCATCCCTAAAAGAATCCTGAACTTTTCCACCCACAAATTTTATATCCTCATAGCAAGTTGGACCTTTGACGACTGTTAGCATCATTCTCAAGAAATATAACTCACCCGTACTTGGAGGGACCCAAATAAGTCTGCCAATTGTATTTCCTCTTTTACGCGGTCTCCATCGACGGTATCTTTTATCATAAACAAATTTGGAAAGAAATTGTGAGTACGTCAAATTCTTTGCCTCTGGGTATGCTTTGTTTGCTTCCATCCATGCCGTAAACATAGATTCTTTCACAGTTGGTTTGTCAAGCACCTCATCTATCAATTTATAATCGGTATAATAAACAGAGTTGTCTCTTTCAAGATGAAAGAACAACCTTTCAACTGCGGGTGATCTATCATGAATAGGAAATGAAAAAAGTCTCCAACATGCCTCACTTGGTGAGATATATCTGCAATCAAGATATTGCTTGATTTCGTCAACCATTCTGACCGAGGGAGATCCATCACCGTCAGTTTGGACAACAGCAGCAGTAATTCTATCATACCCCTTGTTAATATACTTAAATAAGTATTTAACTGAAGTACTTTGATTACACCACTCCATATTGATGTGTGCTTGGAATTTCTTCAACAAATATGGATTGTAAGGAACTACATATCTGTTATTAAGTTGAACGTGTTTTTTCAGCACTGTATTACCAGTTTCTCTTCTTCGGTACACGGGATATCCATCCTGATCAACAATGGTTTCGGTTTGATATTTCTTTGGAAAGTATTTTGAGCACTTTCCATTTTTCATGCAAGTTGAATTCGCATTTGCTAAACCACATGGGCCATGAATCATATGTGTCTTGACCAAATGGTAGAGTTGCCTATCATCTTCTTCTGTTGGTATCTCTGCTGAAATGATCTTGTTTATATCATCTGGAGTCGGATACTTGCTTGAAGGATGCAAGAATAGTAGTATATGGGCGTGTGGTAAACCCCGCTTTTGGAATTCAATGATGTATATATCTGAAATTAAGTAAGTTTAAACTTAGTAAAACGATGCATATTACATATTTAATAAGATTAATGTCAAAAAATATAACTCGACTGAAAGGGTATTAAATTGACTTACATGCAATCACTCTCCCTAACACGTGCTTTTTTGTTAGATCACACAACAACTCATCGAACTTAATTTTGAAGACTCTTGAGATGATATCTGGACGGTCTTGAGAATTCAAGTTAATTTTGCTAAGCAACCTTTGGATTTCAGGCCAGTTGAGATTGCAAGTAAATATGATAAAAAGATCTGGAAATCCAACTTGGCTACAAATTGCCATTCCATCAAAATAAAGTTGTTCCATAAACCTCCGACTTCCAACATAAGTTGAAGGTAAAACCACTCTTTTACCTTTGTTTGATCCTTGAGTGTTTGCATTCTGTTCAGATGAGCTCAAATTGCAATATTTAAAAACACGCAGCTTTTTCTGATGTTTTCGAATATAATTCAATCTTTGTGACTCCATCATAGTAAATCCATCAACCAAAAATTGTTGAAACAACCTTCTTGACCGCAATATAGTTTGTGCCTCGTTATGTCTGCATTGAATCCTAAAAGCAAGCCATTCTCTAATGGTAAGCTTATTCCTCTTCATTTTTTTTTGGTATTAGTTTCTCTAAGAAGAACTCCAAGTCTAAAACCATCTTCCCCATAAGGAAACAAAAGTGGATATTGATATGCCATATAACTTAAATGAAACTCACTTATTCTTTTTAGCCTTCCGCTCTTTCTTTCAAGAAGAATATCCCTCTTAGAACCCGTATCAACATCACCAACTATTAGGGCGGCTACCTCCAAAACAGTAGGTTGGTTATAAATCCTTCCATCTGTTGATCTATCAGATATTAGCTTAAGCTTGAGATCAGGCAAAGGACAAT